AGCAGCTAGTTTATGTCACACAAATATCCAATGACAGAGACGCTTCCTCCTGTTTGCTGCGGCGCCCCTTCTCCGGAATATTAGAGTCCTGGCCAGGACGACACATTCTCTTGGCTTCATTTAGATTTTTTGGCTTCAGTGCCAAAAACAAAAAGAAAAACAAATAAGGGAAAACATCAAGAAAAACGGCGCAAAGGCAGTTCGCATCGGGGTGGCGGCTGTTGTCTCTCCCTGTGAGAAGGCGGGGGCTGCAGGGGCTGCTGTTTTGTTGCTAATTTCATTGACTCTGGGGCTGGGCCGCTGCCAAGTGCATCGTTCGATGAGTGGGCGGCTGTTGCTTCGCTTGTTTCAATTGCCTTCTGTACGCGCACTTATACCAACTCCAATTATCCTTCATCCTCTGCTCAAGAAGTGTAAGCGAATCGCTGCCAGCTTTGATGTAACTCGGTGGATCAATGAGCCAAACTTATTCCATTTAGTTCATACAGTCTGTAAGAGAAATTCTATGTGGGGCTGATATAATTAATATAAAGCTGTTATAAATCTGTGATGCAACAGATTGAGAATCTGTAAATAAATGTCTCAATGCTTATAACTCGAAGTTATTAGTTGTTTAACTTATGTTAAGTTAATATAGAGAACATATGTTACGATAACAGAGTCTGTAAGCCAGACTGTAGACTTCTCTGTTGCTAACATTGCTGCTGTTAGGGGTAAAGCTAACATATGGAACATTAACATGTTAAGCCGCATTGAGCCATTATCAGTCTGTAATCTCAGCATTAACAGTTGTCAAGCTTTGAAACGCATTTGATAAATACTTAGATAAATATATCATTATATAAAGTTGCCTTTTCTCATATTCATTTTCAATTATTTTAAGTGCCTGGGCAACAAGTTTGTTATTGTGTTGATTTGTGTTTGGTACAGTTGCGCTCTCAGTTTTCAACTAGTCAACTGTTCTTGTGTGTGTGTGTGTGTGTGTGTGTGTGGGTGGCTGCGTGTGTGTATATGGGGGCCAATAAGACGGAACAGCCCCCGAGGCTGAGTTGAAGTTTCATTTCTTTTTGTAGAGCGACCCCAACGCACACACACACACACACACACACATGTCACACACTCGCAGCAGCAGCAGCAGCAGCAGCACACATTGTGGCATAGTCACATATATCATTGTCAAGTCTATATGCAAGGCATACAGCCCCACCTCCTGCTCCTGCTCTTTCGTATGACTGGGCTGGCTATCCAAGCAGCATTCAAGTTGCCCTCTGCTCAAATATCAGTCCTTTTGCTTGGGGTAGGGGTAGGGTCGCGCGCTCTACATGCGGCAATCTTTTTGGCTTGTCAAATGCGCATTTCCTGCTTACGAGTCCTCACTGTATGTGTGTGTGTGTGTGTGTGGCTTGTGTGTGGGATGCCCGGTTTGTCTCCAGCGCAATCAATATGGCGGCGCTGGGGTAATAGCTTAGGATTTACGCGCACGGCTTACATAGTGTGAGAGAGAGAGAGAGCGAGAGAGAGAGAGAAAGTAAGAGAGACTCCTGCTGCTTCTTCTACTGCTTCAGCTCCTGGCTCTGCTCCTGTTCGTGGTTACGTCGCCAAACGCTCGCGCCAAGTCGTCGCAGTTACCTTTAAACTTTTTTATTGATATTTTATGTATGTAGTCCCGTTGCCCGACAGCTAGCACACACACTCACGCAACCCTCTAACCTCTGCTCTCTCCTGGCTTAAGCCTGGTCCTTCGACTGTGCCCATGTTTGTCCTTTTATGAAAGCTGCTGTAATGATTTGTTTTATGAAGTCGTTCTTCGTGTTGCCACCCACATCTACTTCCCCTCCCACTCCCTCTGCCATTCTCTGCCCCTCCCCCGCCCGTCGTTACCTCGAGCTGCGCCCCGAAGTATGCTAGTAAAAGTATGTTCGCCCACTTTGTTTGCCCAATGACTTAGTTATTGAGTCCTTACAAAGGATTTCTTTAAAGTAAATTACTTGAAGCGAAGCAGAGCGAATGCACTGCTGCTCACTCACCTGCCGCCGCTCTGATTAAATCGATCAAACATTCACTTTGATATAGGCATGTCCCAAGGGGCGAGTCGAGCTCTACTCCTTAATATGAGTATTTGGCATTAGTCTGGCCTGTGATATGAATGAATATTCATTTAGTTATTGCTCCGCCTGCTCTATATATTATGTATGAATATTCTATATCTTTTACGTAACTAATATCGTGATCAGACTCGAATATTCGAGTCGATATTTGCTGCAGTGTATTTCAGGGCAAAATTCCAAGTCATTTGCCTGTTCATTCAATGAGAAAATTTATATATCTTCCTTTCATATAAATTTAATAGAGCAATCAGATCTCAGGTTGACTAATTATGTGCAATTCTAAAGTCTAGGCATATAAATTTGATGCACTTCATATATTTGTAACTGTTTTTAAAAACAAACAAAATATCCTGGTATACAGTGCGTATACGCAATGTGCAGTTTGCAGGCAAATTTGCAGCTGCTCATCAAAAGGGCTGCCGCAGACGCATTCACGTGCGGCGCTTGCAAACGCATTTCACACCTTTTGCCAGTGGCATGCAAATGATTTATGAAAGGAGGCGGCTGGCTGGGTGAGACTGGAGAGGTGGATTGGGCGTGTCTATAGTGGGCTGCTGTGAGTTCGTTCGCTGTGGCAACAGTTGGCGTTAGCTGCTGTTGTTGCTGTTGTTGCTGTTGTTGCTGTTGGCACTAAACTTCAATTAGCTCAGCGAGTCCATGACTTTTAATCAGTGTACTTTATGCCATACTCACGCACGCACACACACACGCACTCTCCATGCATATGCGTGTGCCACAAAAACGCAATAAATTAAACCAACAAGCAATTACAACAACAATGGCCAAAGAGGCCACAAAGTTGCTTAGTGCGCCAAAAACCAACAGCCAGGCGAGGTCATCGAGAGACGCCGACTGCGACGCCAACTGCGACTGCGACAGCGACGTTGAAGTCGTGTCGCCAAGATTTATTGGCTGGCCTATGCGTCGCGTCGGCTCGAATATAGAGTTGACAATGATGTGGACGCGGACATGGACACAGACGAGGCTAAGGACAAGAACGAGGACGACTGCGAGGGCGAGGACGAGGACGAGGACGAGTGCGAGAACTAGAGACAAGGTGTTTGGCCAGGGCTAAACGATATGCCAGCCTAGAGAGGGAAATGCTGTGATATATACTTATTATATATTTGTATTTATTTATTATGCTAATCTAGATTCTCCTGTACGTCATTCACATGAAACATATACATCGTGATTGATTTGAAGGATGTCGCGTGCCTTGTCACGCGCCCATCTCTAGTTTACAGTTCAGTTGGCAACAACACGAGCTCCAGCACTTGGCATTGAAATGTGCCACGCAGTTGACCCCACTTTAGCCCCCTTTCCTGGTGGTGCTAGGCCTTTCCACACGACTAACAAATAAATTGCAAATATGAATATGAACTAGGAGCGGGCTTGAAGCAGCAGCAGCAACAGCAGAAACAGAATCAGAAGCTAAAGATCCGGGGAACACCCGCTAAAGTAGACACTGAAAAAGTGCCAAAAGATTTATGCCTCAATGTTGTTGTGTTGTGGCTGTCAGTGTCTGGCTGTGTGAGAGTTTGCCAGCTTAGCCATCAAATGGGACACGGATGCGGATGCGGATGCGGATGCGATTGCGAATGCGACTGCAGCTGCGCTTGATAATAAGCTTCAGCAGTCGACTCAATGTCTGCAACACCCACAGCAATAACCGACTTCCATTCAAGCCCAACCCCAACCTCCCCCCCTGTCACACTCTCAGAAGCTGGTGTTGACAGTCGTTGCGCAAGGGATGACAGCTGCAAGTGGAGTAGGTGGCGGGCAGGTCCTTAATGTGCTACACGGCCCAGGACGTGTCCGGGAATTAGCCTCAAAATCTTTGACTCTGGCTCAGGCAGTCAAATTCCACTGGATGCCCAAAACTGATGCAAATTGGAAAGCCTGTGAGTCAGGAGTAAGCAACAGGAAGAGGGACGAGGGTTGAGGAAAGCGAATAGCCAGACAGCGGGGATGCAATTAGTCGAGCCCAACCACTGGCGTTGAGCTTAAACATCGCGAAACTCCAACTAAAGTGATGAAAAATAAGCAGACTGCTGGACTAAGGATGACCAGAGAAGCCTTTAAAGAACTGATACTTCAATCAATCTCAGCTTCTTTAAAGCATATTTATATATAACAAGCAAACTCATATATATACACGTATGGGCTATACTTTGGGATATTGTTTATTGGATAACTTTTCTATATAATCTATATGCCATTTGTTTACATTAGTCGGAGCACAAATATTAGAATTTTAAATAACCTTTCTTTTGCGAATTCGGGGTAATCCAAAATCCGTAAATTGTAAAGTCTCTGTATTTATTACACGAACATACATGGTAAACCTAGAATCTCTTACTATTGCAGTGTTACACTCAGAAAGTCAAATAGAATTATATGATTTATCGAAAAAAAATGATACTGTGGCACTGCATTCGTATATTGGTATATTTATACATTTATTATTTCGTTGCGTTCTTGCGAACGGATGAATGGATATAGGAAATGAGGAATGAATGGACAGACGGGCATGGCTACAGCGACGCAGCTCTTCGCCCTGATGAAGAATATGTTCTATATGAGGTCTGCCACGTCTGCTCCTGTCAGTTCATAAAAACTGTATGGGTGACGAATTAATGCCTTAGATAGGGGCATTGTTGAACTCTTTGAGCTAGAACAAATGCAAAATTAGTATATTTAATGTTAATATCTATGTATCTCTAATTAAAGCCAACCTTTCTCTTAAGAACTTTGTTTCCATATCACTCAGTGACATTTGAGCTTATGTCTCCCGTCCAACGCATTCACATAACTGACTTAAATGCATTCGTTTCTCTCTTTAACAGTTATGGATTTTTAATTCACCTTTCCCTTCTTCTCTCTCCGTAGGTCTCTGCTGGGCAGCACTTGCACCTGAGCAGCGACATGAAGAGCAACGTTTCGGTTGCCGCGCAGCAGGGCGTCTTCTTCAGTCAGCAGCAGGCGCAGCAGCAGCAGCAACAACAGCAGCAACAGCAGCAGCAGCCGGGCAACTCCGGACCCAATCCACAGCAGCAGCAGCAGCAGCCGCACGGCGGCAATCCGGGTGGCAATGGCGGCAATCCGAATGGCCCCCAGCAGCAGCAGCAGCAGCAACCAAATCAAAATATGAACAATGCAAATGGTAAGCGAATCGAGGATTCTCAAGAGTAATGAAATATCTGAACTCATCCAATTATCACCGATTGCAGTACCCTCCGACGGCTTCTCGCTCTCCCAAAGCCAAAGCATGAACTTTACGCAGCAGCAGGCGGCGGCGGCGGCGGCAGCTGCTGCTGCACAACAGCAACAGGCAGCCGCCCAGCAGCAGCAGCAGGTGCCGCCCAACATGCGTCAGCGTCAAACGCAGGCGCAGGCAGCGGCAGCAGCGGCCGCCGCAGCGGCTGCCCAGGCGCAGGCAGCGGCCAATGCCAATGGCGGACCCGGCAGCAATGTGCCGCTGATGCAGCAGCAGCAGCAGCCGGGCGGCGTGCCCGTTGGGGCAGGCAGCGGCAACGCCGGCAGCGCAGGGGGGCCCAATAACGGTGCAATGAATCAGCTGGGCGGACCCATGGGCGGCATGCCGGGCATGCAGATGGGCGGACCCGGTGTGCCCATGAATCCCATGCAGATGAATCCGAATGGCGGCGCGCCCAACGCCCAGATGATGATGGGCGGTGGCAACGGTGGCCCGGTGCCGGTCCCAGCCGGCAGCCAGGCCAAGTTCCTGCAGCAGCAGCAGATGATGCGTGCCCAGGCCATGCAGCACCAGCAGCAGGTACAGCAGCACATGTCCGGCGCCCGTCCCCCGCCGCCCGAGTACAATGCGACCAAGGCGCAGCTGATGCAGGCGCAGATGATGCAGCAGACGGTGGGCGGCGGCGGCGTCGGTGGCGGTGTGGGCGTGGGCGTGGGTGGCAACGCAGCCGGCGGACGCTTCCCCAACAGCGCAGCCCAGGCAGCGGCCATGCGGCGCATGACCCAGCAGCCCATCCCGCCATCCGGGCCAATGATGCGACCCCAGCATGCCGCCATGTACATGCAGCAGCATGGTGGTGCGGGCGGCGGGCCACGCGGCGGCATGGGCGGACCGTACGGCGGCGGGCAGCCGCAGCAGCAACCTCAGCAGCAGCAGCGGCCGCCGAACGTGCAAGTGACGCCCGATGGCATGCCGATGGGCTCGCAGCAGGAGTGGCGCCACATGATGATGACGCAGCAGCAGCAGCAGATGGGCTTCGGACCGGGCGGACCCATGCGACAAGGGCCCGGCGGCTTTAACAGCGGTAAGCATCTGCAGACTGCAGTTTCTCGAGGGGTCAGCTCAACTAATGCTCTCTCTATGGCAGGCAACTTCATGCCCAATGGGGGACCCAATGCGCCGGGCAACGGGCCGAACAGCGGCATGATGTCCGGCCCGAACGGGCCGCAGATGCAGCTGACGCCCGCGCAAATGCAGCAGCAGCTGATGCGACAACAACAGCAGCACATGGGACCCGGCGGAGGAGGCGGCGGCGGCGGCGGCAACATGCAAATGCAACAGCTGCTGCAGCAGCAGCAGAGCGCGGCTGCTGGCGGCAACGGCGGCGGCGGCGGTGGAGGCGGCGGCATGATGGCCGCCCAGATGCAGATCAACAGCATGCACATGAGCCAGACCCAGCAGCAGATCACCATGCAGCAGCAGCAGCAGTTCGTCCAGAGCAGCAGCACGACAACAACACACCAGCAGCAGCAACAGTTGCTGCAGATGAGCCAGAGCGGGCCGGGACCCAGTAACAACAATGCCGCAGCGCAGGCGGTTGGCGGCGTTGGTGTTGGTGTGGGCGTGGGCGTGTCAACAATCGCGAGCGCCAGCTCCATTAGCCAGACGATCAACTCGGTGGTGGCCAACTCGAATGACTTGTGCCTCGAATTCCTCGACAGCCTGCCGGTGGACAGCAACTTCTCCACGCAGGATCTGATCAACTCGCTGGACAACGACAACTTTAACATACAGGACATTTTGCAGTAGACCAATAGCGAGAGAGAGACAGATAGAGAGAATGCGAAAGAAAGAATGCGAAATCAAAAGGATGCCAGCACCAGCCTAACGAACACCAGCACCAAGCTAGCCACCATAACCAACCAACCAACCAACCAACCAACCAACCAATTGTTGCCTGTTTTTGTTTAATTTTTTTGTTGCCTGTTGTTGTTATTGCCTCCCCCCGTGAGACCTCATCCCCTGTTTGTTGATTGTGTGAATTTTAGAAGCTAAGTTCGTTTCGATGTACTTTAATTTGGGACTTTACTGTATTATTAGCCGCTAGAGCTGACCGCCTCGTTTCTGGGGCACAGGGCAGCAACGGTCCAAGGCGGGCGAGCGCTGGGGGCGTGGCAGCGGCAGCGGCCAGTACGCAAACATTCCATAAGCTACAAATATATATTTCCACGTATATATGTATATTTGAATAATAATTCGAGCAAAAGTATTCAAAAGCAGCCCCAAAAAAAAAAAAAAAAAAAAAAAAACAAAATATATATACATTTAAAAAATGAAGAGAAAATAGTAAAGCACATAGATATACCCTCACCCATACACTCGCAGAACTTAAGCACTTGTACTTAATGCAATTTGGCCACGCCCAGCGCACAGTTCGCCCGCCCACATTTCATTTTACTTAAGCAAAACTAAAAAAAAAAGCAAAACAAAAAAATACGAAAAAGAAAGATAAAAACGTAAATGGAACCAACAACAAAACAAAAGAAAACTTTTTAACAAACGCGTCAGAAAGATGAAGAAAAAAAACTAAAAAAAAAAAAGAGAAAATAATTGTACATTTTTTATATTGTATTTAATTTAATTTACATTTTTTTACATGAAAAAAGAAAATCGCGAACGTAGAAAACCGAAAAAAGAAAACACAAAAAAAAAAGAGTAAAAGCAAAAATATTGGTGATATTTTAATTGCTTACAGACACACACACATATATATACAGAAGAATGAGAAATTTTACAGTTAGAGCGGAGAAACAGTTATTATTAATTATTATTATTGTACATTATTTTTGAGTAACAATTAAGTTTATATGAAATTTGAAAGAGAAGCAAGAGCAAACGCGGAGCAACAATGCGAATTAAGCGCAAAAACAACAAAAACATATTTAATGAACAAAATTATATATATATAGAGATATATATACACATTAAAAATATATATAAATTTAGTATATATATATTGAAAACTTATAATTAAATATACTACGCGTAGTTTTTTGGTAGTGAAAAGCGTGCATAAAGCCCTTAAAATTAGTAGTTTGTTAAATAAATTTATATACATACATATATATATATGTACAACAGACACACACAAAAGAAATAGAAATACACACACAAAAAAACAAACAAATACACATATACCATATATGCATCTTGATAGGTGTATATATATATATATATTCGATTAGGAGCGCTAACAATTATTGAACTAGATATCTAAGGAAACACAGCCGAATACATTTTTAGCTAGATGCGTTTTTGGCCACGTTACCAAGTGACGTCGTGCCTCAGCAGCCCACTTGACAAAAATGATAAGAGATTCCAGCTATGAAATTATTATACAACATTTAATTAGCGCAATTCCATAAGTCCATAAGTTAAATAGTTCAGATCGGTTCCATTCTCACTCAGCTCAGAGGCCATACAAAATTCGACAGCAGACACTTCCAGAAATAAATACATCCATATATACATATAAATAGAGCAGCAAATTAATAGATAATGCCTAGATCGAATGTTGATCGAGCACAGAAACACACTCACACTCACACTGACACACACAGACAAAGACACGCCTAGAAAACAAACGCGTAGCCCAAAGTATTTAAGCCGCAAACAAACAAAAACAAAACGAGAAACTAACAAAAAATTATTATTAAACAATTATTATAATAAAAAAATACGCGAATTGTAGTTTGTAATTAATTATACGAAACCAACTTGTTTAAAAAAAAAAAAAAAAAAAAAAAAAAAAAAAAAAAAAAAGCTCGCAAATTATATTATATTATATAGTATATATCTATATACATTATTATTATTACTATATACAATATGGCATATTATTATTACATATATATATATATATATACGAGTACAGATCTATATATATACATATACATATATACTGAAAACTTGCAATTCAATCGAGGCGCAGCAAGTTGCAAGCAATTGCAAGTAAAACACAACCACAACTCGATATCAATTAAAAGCAAACAGCTGCCAGCGGCAAACCAAAACTTTAACAACTTACAAAAACAAAACAAAAAGAGAAACTAAAAACAAACTTCAAAAGCAAATGCAAATTAATTTTAGCTCATAATTTACATACAACAACAAAAACAAAAAGCGCCTTTTGCTGCATTTTGTCTTGTTTTTATCCTTATTTTTATTTCCTGTTTTATTTTTTTAATTTAGCCAAATTATGTTTTGTGTACAAGTCTTCGGTTTGCCGTTTTGTTGTCCTCCAGGATGCGCAACAAAACTTCTGTGTCAACAACTCGGGACCCAAACGAATTGTTGGCAATACAAAAACAAAAACTACAAACATTTGTAGATTTTCTTTTAATATTAAAGAAACCAGACAGAAAAAAAAAAAAAACAAAAGCAACAAAATAAAATAGTAAAATATTACTTTTGTAAATAAATAAACCTTAATTCTTTTATTTTCTTGGGCAGTTGGATACTCTCTTTTAATTATGCAGAAATAGTCAATCAATAAAGGTATTGCATTGTAAATGTAGTTAATTGGTGAATGACAATCTAAGAGCTGGATTAGATGATCGGATTTGATTTGATTTGATGCCCCTCAATGAAAATAATATTCGATTCGATTTTAAATATTTGCAATGTGACATTGTTGGCAAATGGTCACGGCACATTTAATACTTTGACGAAGAAGGTTCTCATCATCCTGCCTTGATTAAGCGAATTTCCGAGCTACTGGATTCTTGAGTGACCCATTCCGTTGACTCTCAGCTTGTCATTCTACAGGGGAACTAAAATATGCAAAAAATTAAAACGTAGTTGCATTGATGGGCTTGAAAGTGGAATTTGTGGAACTCCACCCAAAATTCTAGTAAAACAGTAGCCGACACATGTTGATTTAAAAATACCATTGAAGACATGCTATGAGATGGAGTTAATAAAATTTTTGTCTGCCAATCAAAGTACCTCGGTCCAGCGAGCTCAAAGCGCAATATGCTTTGGAAATCGGAGATGATATCTACGAAGGCAGCTGAAAATCTATATCTTCAAAATTTACAGAACAGGAATTGTGTTAAGGTAATTAAAAAGAATCCATTGATGTGTTTTTCATTCATATTTATTGATTTCTGTATACGCATGTTCATAATACATAATTGCATATTTTATGACTTATAATAAATATATTCCATAATTGTAAATACATGCATTTAATGTGTGCTTATGTAAGTGTATGTGTGGCTTTGTATGTGTGCTTCAATTGTTTAACATTATATTTGTGAATAGTACGCATATTATGCACGCTTATTTTGCATGTACTCGATATTTGTATGTATTTATGTTTATACTTATGTGGGTGTGTGTATTTATGTCTATGTGTGTCTCAATGTGTGGTTATAGGTTTATATAGTTTCACTTAGGTAGGACTTGCATGAGCACTCGACATGGTTAACTTAAACATAGAACAAGCTTAGCTAAAATCAAAAGGGTATAATGTAAGGGAAGCGCGGAGAAGAAGGATAGGAATGGACGAGGGCATAGGCGGAGATTTCGAACTAAGAACGATTTAAAAATAATTAGCAACTATTGCGAGAACTAAATAGTGTGCTACATCTAATTAGAAGCTAGCTTTGCCAATATATATTCATATATATATGTATGTGTATGTGTGTGTGTGTACTGTTGTGTATAATAACTTTTCAACACTTAGACGCTAGTGCAAAGGTGCGGCCTGCCAATTCTAAATGTTTAAGTGTTTAGCTTACTAATATCGTAATTAGTATATTAATTATTTTAATGTTAAATGGTTTGCGACACTTCGAACGGGATTTGTTTAAATAATGTAAATGCCATTGCTGGTTGCTGTTTGCATTAGTTGAGTTTTTAGATGTTATTATTGCTAGTAATCAATTTCAAATGTTGCCTGTGACATGTCGCACTATTATGCAATAAAATCAGCCTTAGTTATAATAATTGTTACTCGGTCGTACGCATGTCTCCAAGTCGAGGCTCGTTAACAATATTTGCGGCAAGGGCCGGAGTTGCTTGAGAACCTCTTTCAATTTTCATATTCCATATTCCATATTAGAATCGTAATGGTATATAATTTGCAGTTTTATTTAATTATTGTTTATAATTATTATGTATGTTGCTCTTTTTATTTTACTTTGTAATACTTGCGCAAGTTAAAGTTCTTCTCTAAAAAACAATTATACAAAAACGGTGTTAAAAGTAAAAACCTGTAAATTTTACTAGCAAAAATTCACGTGTTTGTAGAATTGTATTAAATATGCTGTTTAAAAATGCCTTTAATTGTTAAGTAGTTAATTAGGTAAGTGGTTTACTTCGTGTCTCTCTCTTCGTCTTTCCTCCAATTAGACTCGACTTGACAATTCAGCTAAATGCGCAAATTCAAATTCAATTAGTATTGTTATTATTAATTATTATTGTTATTGTTATTATTTCTGTTTGTCTAAAATGTTTCTCTAAAACTGTGTGTGAGAGTTTCGAATGTTTTGTGCATGTTGCTGAATGGATGGATACTGAAATGCACTTGAAACAATGAACTAGCCCCTAGTTAAACGCTCCATACTTATTCTAAAAGTGAATTGCATTTGTTGTGGATGTATATTCGAGATTTGCTTCGGCTATTTTCCACATCGAATACGACAATTTTCACTTGTGCAGCTCGAAAAGAAACTGAGCCAATTGACAACTGACCATCAGTTTGGCTCAGTTTGTTTTCAATTGCTATTAACTTATATATATATTTACGATTTACATATGTGTATTAAGAGTTTTACTTAAATATTGCAAACATGTTTCAAATTCTCAATTCAAAGTTTGAATCCTTTTCTTCCTTTCTTTTGTTTGAGTTTCTTTGCTGCGCCTACGCCGCGTACATAAATTTATATCACACGCAATAAATATATAATTGTTAAAATAATAGAATATTTGTTTTCGTATTCCGAAATTCAGAATCAAAGAAATTAAAAATCGTGCTCGTGCCTTTTCGCGTAATTAACTAATTATCATATCCGTTTTTTCTTTTTTATCGTTTTCTTTTACGTTTTGAGTTCTCGTTTATGTTTTTACATCCATATTTTCGTAATTTAATTATTCATCGATAGCATTTGCATACAAGTTGATTCGAAGCATGCGTGTGCATGTGTGTTGTGTGGGTGTGAGTATGGTGGGCATGTGTGTCTGTATGAGTGCAGCTATTCGTTGTGAATGGCAATGACTGTTGCTGTTTTGCTTTGTAATTCTAATTAACGTTTAAACGTTTTTGGCAAATTGTTGAACGATCAATCAATTGATCGATAAGTTATCGATGGCTGCTCTAGTGCAGTCTATGGTGATTGGCCTTGGGCATGGCGCCTACAATGCGCACACGCCCCAAGGTGCCAACTGCGCCAGCGCCAGCGCCACCAGACAGCCGCTGATGCTGCTGCTGTTGTTGCTGCTGTTGCTGCTGCTGCTGGTGCTGTTGCTGTTGTTGCTGCAGCAATTGCAGCTGCTGCTGGTGACGCTGCTGCTGCTGCAGTAGCTGTTGCTGGTGCTGCTGTTGCAGCTGCTGTTGCTGTTGCTGCTGGAGTTGCTGTTGCTGCTGCTGCTGTGGATGATACTGCGGCGCATGCTTGGCATCATTGCAGTCACAAAATTGAGGAGGCGGCGCCAACACCAGATTCTCGGTGCACAGCTGCAGATTGTTGTTGCCCGGCTGCGATACAGCGCTGGCAGCAGCAACAGCCGCAGAGGGCACTGCCACCAACTGGCCGCTGGGCAGCATGCCCACAATGTGCGTGGCCAGCTGCTGCTGTTGCTGTAGCAGATGCTGCTGCTGCGTGGGCTCGCCGTCGCTGTCCGCCTCGAGAGGGGGTGGCAGCTGCACCAACGATACGGCTGTGGTGCGTGTGGCGCCCCGCTGCATGGCAATGGCCGCCGCCTGCTTGCGCGTCAAGGAGTTGTGCCGCTGGAATGCCTTGGCCGGCGGCGAGGGACTCAATTCGCCATCGTCGTCATCGAGATCGGATCGCTGCTCCAGCTCCGAGTCGTGGCCCTTGTGTAGCTGCTGCTGCTGCTTGGCCACCAGGGCGGCGGTGCTGGCGCCACCAGCGGCCGCTGCTTTGGCTTTGAGTATCTGCTGCAAGTGTTGTTGGTGCGCCAGTTGCTGTTGCTGTTGCTGCAGTATCTGCTGCTGTGTGGCAATCAGCTTTATGTTGGGATTCGCTTGGTGTTGCTGCAGCAGCTGCTGCTGCTGCTGTTGCTGCTGGTGGTGAACATTGGGTATGCGACCGAGCACCTGAGGACTGAGCACGGGCTGATTCGACTTGATTTGAGTGGTGCTGCCTGGCAGCTTGGTGGCAACCATTGCTGCTGGCTTAGCGCCGCTCAGCTGCTGCTGCTGCTGTTGTATAACCGGCGCATGTTGCTGCTGCACCAGCTGCTTAACAGTCAGTGTAGTTGTTGCTGGCGCTGCTGCTGGCGCTGTCGCTGCGGCTGCTGCTGTCATGCTGCTGCTGTTGTTGTTGTGGTTGCTGCTGGCATTGTTGTTTAGATTGGAGCTGCTGGTCTTAGTGGCCGCCTCGTAGGCAGCTGCAGCATGCGCCACATTTGTGCCACCATTAATGCTGTTGCTGTTGCTGTTGGTGTTACTGTTACTGTTGCTGCTGCTGTTGATGCTGTTGCTGTTGGCGTTGACTGATGATGCTCCAATACTGATGGTTGTCTTGGCCATGGGTTTGACTGGTGGATCCGGTATGGTCTTCGGCTCCTCCACAATAGTCACGCTCGGCTTCTTCTTGATGGTATCCGTGGGCTTGGCAGCGCACGTGGCGAGCAACTCCTGGTCACTGCTGACGCCCGAGCTGCTGTTGTCGCACTCATCCTCGCCAGCAGCAGGCTGTGGCAGCAATTGTTGCTGCTGGGGCTGCTGCTGCTGCTGCTCCTCTTCCTTCTTGAGAAAGCCATTGGGCGAGGACTTGGAGGTCTTCAGATTGCTCCGAATGCGCTGTATCTCCTCCACGGACAGCGAGTGCGAAATGGAGGCACCTGAGCCAGAGGCAGAGCTGCTGCCACTGAGGAGGAACACATATTAGTAAAAGGATGATGGGAGCAGAGCCACTGGAACTTACCTGCCCTGGCTGTTGCCACTGGTCTCCGGCACGTCGAACAGCGCAATTTTCTCATTGAGCTTCGTGTTGCGGGCCACCAGAATCGAGTTCTCATCCTCGCCGTCCGACTCGCTGCAGCTGTAGTCCGGCTCGGGTATGGGCGGTGCTGGACCAGCAACAGTTGCTGACGCACTTGCAGTGCCATTTGAATGTTGCTGCTGCTGCTGCTGTTGTTGCGTTGCTGCTGGCGGCGGTGGTGGTGCAGGTGGCGATTGTGGTGCAGCCGCTGCTGCTGTCGGCTGCTGCTGCACCTGTGGCGCTGCATAGTGGGAGCCCACTGGAGCAGGAGCCTGTGGACGCAGCTGTGTTGGTGCTGCATACTGACTGACATGTTGCTGCTGTTGTTGCTGCTGCTGTTGCTGCTGTGACTGTGGTTCCTGCTGGGTTTTCTCCTGCGCCTGCCGCAGCTTCCAGGCCATCACGTTGCGCAGCTCCTGCGGCGAGGCGTAGATCTTGGCATTGGCCGATGGATTGAAGCTGCTCTGGACACCGTCGATGGCCGCCGAGGTGACTGCGTCGTTCTCCGCACGCTTCTTCAGCTTCTGCTGCAGCGATATTGTGCTCTCGTACTCCGAGACACTGCTACGCGTCTCCACCTTCACCACCTGGCCCACTGGAGGAGGCGGTGGTGGGTGGTTGGGTGGCGGTAGCACGGCACCAGCTGCACCCGCCCCACCTTTGCTCTCCTTGTCGCCCGTCGTGTTGAGGCGCTGCAGTGAGGCGTGCAACGTGGCCACGTCGTCCTGCGAGTGATGTCCTTTGCCTGCGGCCTGCCAGATGGACGAGGCCGAGCCGTGCAGCTGCGGTCCGTGCAGATCGGGCGTTGAGTGAAAGCGCTTCAGATCCCGACCACTGCCAGCGACCGCTCCGCCCACAGTGGGCGTGGCCACGGGCTTGCCACGCAGTGTGCCGCTGCCGTGCTTGGTTCGCGCCGTCTTCTGGCGCTTCATCTCGGCCACGCTGCCGTAGACTTGTGGGCCAGTGCGCATTGGCGACCCGTTTGCGCCGGGAGGCGTGGCAGCACCACTGTCCGTGCCCGACTGGAAGCGCGAACTGGTCATCATGGTGGCGTAGCGATTGGCATTGCTGGCCCCGCCCTCGCCCTGCTGTCGCTGGAAGAGCTCCTCCAGCTCGGCGGCGGTGATGCGACTCGATGTGGGCCGCGCCTTGATGCTGGCCGTGCGCAGCTGCACCGGCGTGCCCGGATGTGTGGGCGTGGGCGTGGCGATCGACTCAACCGAATTGGACTTGGCATGCGGCACCTGCTCCTCCTGCTCCTTCTCGCCTCCGTTCTCCAGGCCCGCCACCATCGACTTGGCCCTGGCCCGACCCACGCTCAGCGTAGTCTTTGGATCGCGGCGCGGTGGCATCGGCGCCATGCGAACACTGCCTCCGCCGGTCGAGCCGCCGCCGCCGGCATGGCTGCCCGGACCCATGGACATCTTGCGAGGCAGCGTAGCGCATTGGCGATGTGCGCTCTGCGGCGTGCTGGGTCCACTGGACAGATGCTGGCTGCCGGCGCGGGCCCCGCTGGGCAAGTACTGGGCGCTGGCCTGCATCTGAAGCGGAAACTGGGGCGAGACGACGGTCATGTTGACCAGGGCGCCGGCGGAGCGTATCATCTCGACGACCTGCTCATGCGAAGCGGCGCTCACATCCTCCCCGTTGATGGTGAGCAGAAAGTCCCCGGGCCGCAGTCCCGCCATGTCGGCCACACCGCCCGGATCCACGTCGTCCAAGTACTGGAGCGCCGGGAAGCGCTCTGACGGACGCAGTTGCATCAGCTGAGAACTGGCCTTAGCGCCGCGCAAAATGAAGCCGAAGCCACGCTTAGCCCGGTGCAACACAACTGAGCGAGGCGCGTTGTAGGCGCTAGAAATATATTTGAAAAAAAAATATATATATATATTAGAAATATATATGAAATCAATTTGCTTACCTCTTCTTGATGCGTGGCGCTGTGGCGCTGCTGTACTGTCCAATCGAATTGTTGACCATGTCCTCGGGCTGCTGCTGCCCCTGCTGCTGCTGCTGGCAGGAGCCGTTGCTGGTCATGGAGAGCGAGGGCGACTGATGCGGCTGCTGGAGCAGCGTACTGGAGCTGCCGGAGTGGCCGCCCAGGCTGAGCTGTGGGGAGCCCTGGTAGGAGCCTGGCTGGACCTGTTGTGCCTGCAGCACCTGATGTTGCTGCTGCTGCTGTTGGTGTTGGTGTTGCTGGGGGGCCATGCCCGTGCTGGCGGTCATCACGTTGGTGATGTGCTTCTGGCGCAGATTCACCTCCTGGACGCAATCGGCGGGGAAGAAGCCCGACTGATTGGTGCCGCGCACATACCCCTCGAGGAGGCCGCAATCGGTGCTGCCCACCACCTCGATCACGTCGCCCGGCTGGAGGCGTATGTGACCCACCGTGTTGCCCGCATAGGGCTCCATGCACACCACCGTGGTGCTGGGATGTCCAATGGAGCAAGCGGCCGAGTCCGAGTTGGTGCCCACGCCCGACGAGTCGCTGATGATGTCGCTGGTGTCTCCCAGTGACTTATCTGTTTGGAATGCGAAAGTGGAGACGCAAGTTAGTCGATGCATCAGTGGGGCAAGGGACCTGGAGCTAGCTCAGCAGAGACAGAGACAACATCGAGGCGAGGATGGCGATTGCATGCGTATGCTATGACTAGTGGCTGGGCTTCAAGAAAGAGCGACAGAGAGAGATAGAGAGAAAGAGACAGCACGAGAAAGCGTTGCGTGGATGGTTGAAAGAGTTGCAAATCACAAAGAACTGGGACTCACAGTTAAGAAATGAGTACAGATTGGACTTTGAACAATGATATAATATACATACATATTTAAGAATTAAGAAGTATTTCTTGAGAGAGGTATGAAATATCATCTTGTTTGGGTGAGTATTGGTAGATATTAAGTGAATGTTGATATTTGAATTGCAATTTAGTTACTTTGGGCAAGTAAAAAGACGCAGGTCGACTTGGTCATACGCTAGTTATTTTATTTGCGATTTTTAAAATGTGCTATGGATGTGTATTTGTAAAGGAAACCCCTTGGCGCTTTTGCCGATTTACCAAACGTCTTGTTGAACAACTTCTGTGTTAAACTAGCTTTCTGAATTGTTAATCGATTATTTGAAAATAAACTAAAATCGGCGTGTGCATTATCTGCAATTTTGCAAATCTCAAATCTTTAGCTTTTTAGGTTATGAGGAGATCGACGCGTTCCCACATACAGACGGACGAACAGGCAGTGGGATATCACTAAATCGACCCAGCTCATCCTCACAAGCAAGAAATATATACTTTATGGGGTCATCTTATAACTGTTTCAAACATTTTGACTGAACAATTTCAATTCAGTAGGTTCAGAGTATCAAAATAACTTAAAGGTGACTAAAATAAATTATGTTCAGAGCTTCTTTTGTACAGTTACATCTCAAACGGTAGCGACTGTAACCCATCTGGTTGAGGCTGCGTATAGCTCTGTAAGTCTATTAGAAAATCATATTCATAGAGTAGAGATATGATTTGCGTGATTCGCTTTAGCTAATGAAACGCTGATACGATGACAACTTATCGATAGCTGAGCCAGCATGACATATCGGCCTGAAGAAGTGCTTATATAAATAGATATTAAATATAATAATTTGTGGATTGAGTATATAGACATATTCAATAATTTGACAGACATGCACTCTTAGTATTCGGTTTATATATGGAAAGTTAACTAAGTCTTAATTGGGCTAGTTCTAAGAGACATGCTTAAGTTATGGCAATTGTTATACTTAACCTCTGGCTGACCTTATATAGACATAGTGAATATGTATAGTATAATGAAATCAAAACATATGCTCGTCGATTTAAATGTATGGAAATTAAAAACTTATATACTTAAAGCGAACATAGGTCAAAGGCGAAATCAAAGTAAATTTCATTACCTGTCACAATGCTGATGTCGTCTTCGTGCGAGCGATGTCCCGACGAGCCCTCGGATAGACTCGAGCTGGCCGAGCTGTAGGCGCCCAGCATGTGCTCCGATGGACAGGGCGAGGGCGGGCCGTGCAGCTGCAGATGCGGCTGCTGGTGCTGGTGCTGGTGGTGCAAGTGCTGCTGCACGTGCTGATGGCTGTGGGGCTGTTGGTGGTTCGGATGGGTCAGATGGTGGTGTGGCGGCTGCAGCTGCTGCAGCTCACGTCGCGTAAGCGTGCCCATCGCCCCATTGCCGCCATTCACACACACCGGCTGCTGGCCACCCGGCCCCGGCACAGCGCCTGCACCACCGAGCCCACCGGCAGCCGCTGCCAGCAGCGCAGCGCCAGCGGCCCCATTGGCGCTCAGCCAACCGATGCCCGAACGGCGTTTCGGATTGTAGCGTGGCGGTCCCCGGAAGGGTACTGCGGTTGTGGATTAAGGATAGTTTGCGATTTATACGTGTGTATTTGTAGGTGTATGTTGTTGTTGTAATAATTGTTGTTGTTATTGTAATTGTTGTTGTGGGAGGAGTTTTGTCAGTCAGCTGAACTTGTGTGTAGCGGCTTGGAGATTGGCTTAAGTTAGGGAGGGGGTCTATTGCATATTGCCGTTAGCTATGGTTACGTATTTTTGTCACATTATGTGGCCGCGTTTCATCCGGATTGCGGTTTTTTATGGCTTATGAGGGCAAAGCCACTCCAGAGTTGAGCAAGCCTTCCTCAGACAATAAAAACCGTTAGCTAACATAGCGGTAAAGTTCTAGAAGACTGTCACTGCTCACCTCTAGCGCTCTACTCAATCTTCAATTGGGGGTTTAATTCACAAATCAAAATACGTAGTAGTGAGATGAGAAATGATAAGGATATTCCTAGACCACTTCCTAGGGGCTCTAGCACTTACATCAAAGGTACACCAAAGGCTCTGTTACTTACTGTACTTACTGCTCTGATGTATATACACACACGCATATATAGTTGCATAAATATATGTCTGTATATTTATACATGTAACTGACCATATCATAAAGCAAAACGGAACATTCTAAGAATGTTGGCAAAATGAAAACTGATTTAAATGCAATGAGAATAATTCGATTACTATGTAGATAAATCGATAACAATAATTAAGTAACGTTTAACAAAACAGCCAAGAGAGACACAAACAGAGAAACAGAGAGACATACATATATAGATAGAGAAGAATGATATGAGAGAGTCAAACGAGTACGAGCAAAAATTGAAACGAATTACAGTTACGATTAAGTACTAATTGTATATGTAAAGAGAGAGAAAAACGAGTCAAGCAAAGGCAAGGCAAATACATATACATATACATATGTATGTATATATGTTATATATAGAGTTGTATAAGTAGCGTTTGTTATATAATAGGATCAGCATTTTATATTACATTGAGATATGATGGATGTATGTATGAAAAATGATTTAGATTTCGATTTGAGAAGACCTAAATGATGGAATGAGTGATATATATATGTATATATGATTTTTGAAATGATCTGTTTGGGTGTCTTTGAGAACTGAATATTGGGATGGCGGGACTAATAGTGATTAAAACAGAGTATTCAATAAACTAAGTACTGATTGGAATCGATCTAGCTATAGATTGAGTAGAGGATTAAGTTGAGCAAAATCAAAAGAATTGAAACCAAATTGTGACAAAAATGGGATTAACTGAGGGTTGAACGGGACAAGAGATGAGTAAGAGGTACGATATGGCAATGTCAATGTCGAGTACGAGTCAATGGGATTGGTCGATGCGTATCGGAAACGTTAAGATCAATCACTCTATAGTCAGTCAATCATGCAAATATATTGGATAACCACTATAATTGCGAATTCACAGATTGATTGATCAACGTTTCCCACTTTGTGTGAGTGCGAATGAATTGTTGTATGACTGTGGTACGCTCTCTTGCACTCACCTATATCCTCCGATTTGTAGTTCTCAATGATCTCAGCTAGTTCCAAGTTGCCAGCGATGACCGCAACCTAAGGTAGACAGAGTTTTATTAGCCGACCGTGAAACCAGAAGCAAAAGCATTCAATTCGTATAGACTACAAGCAAACTACGTGAAGAAGTACCAGCTATAACTACGAGTACCTTATATTACGAGTATATTACGTTACATTACGTTACGTTACGTTGTTTGTAGCCTAAAAGTGTTTTATGTTATTGAATTTGGATTGGCTTTGTTTTAAATACCTGATAGGGAGTTTGGTTGGCAAAGTTCTGGGCACCGCGTTGTGCGCCGCGAAAGAGAAGCATTCTAGCACAAGCCTCTTGGTTGTTAACAGCGCAAACATGCAACGGGCTGTTACCGGACGCATTGCGTCCATCCATGTCAGCACCGTAGAACAACAAGTGCTCCAAGTGCTGCACTAGGCCGTGCCGACAGGCCTAATCACAGTTTAACAATAGTTAGGGCAAGCGTTTAAAGTTAGACAGAAGAGAAGTAAAAATCAATTAGCAAATACGTTTCTTAACTGTCCCAGCACCTTCGCACCAAAGTTCTCTCAATTTTGGATAGGCAGCGGGGTCATTCACAAGAACCAAGAGTGAGCTCAGTCGTATAGAGAAGATGTTAGCAACCATTTGGACCCGTCACCGACTTACCTGGTGCACCTCGTTCCAGCCCTGGCTGTCCTGTATGCCCAACGTGGCGTGGTCATGCAGCAGGCTCTCCGTAATCTTTGCGTCGCATTTGCGTGTTATTGAAATGTAAAGGGGCGTTATGCCACGCCCGTCACGATAATTGGGCGAGGCGCCAAGCTCCAGGAGCGTGCTGCGAGAATTGAATATGGATTAGTATAAAATCAAATATAATGGAAGCAGATTTAAACCCCATTTATGGAAAACTTGTGGAGACCCACCTGACCGCCTCGAGCGAATCGTGTTCGACAGCTCGATGGAGCGCTGTGGTGCCATCCTTGGTGCGGTAGTCCAGCAGAGCACCGCCATTGACCAGAGCAATGAGCAGCTTGTTGGGCTTCTTGGCACCGGTGGCCACCGAGAGCGGCGTCTCGCCGCTTTCCGAGCAGTGAAAATTTGGATCCAGGCCCTTGGCACACATCTTGGCTATCTTCTCCACATGGCCCCCATTGATGCAGTCCAAGAAGCGACGCAGGTTGGCACGCGTGTGCAGCGCCTTCAGCTGGCGCTCGTCCAGTGTGAGCATTTTATACACGCGACGCTTGTACTTGAGCTGCAACGGACAGCAGAGAGAATAAGAGAAGTTGGGGTCAGTCAAGTCCATTGTATACATGTATGCTTGATAGATGGTACTAACCTCAAGGTAACCGACGGGTCCATTGAATGGATAGTCGCCCAAGCGCCGCTCCTCGTCCAGAAACTTGCCCGCTTTCCCATTCGAGGGTGGTGCAAAGAGGCCATAGTTGAAGCTCTCCTTCAGCTCCTGCAACAAGAAGAGGAAAGAATAGAGGATGAGTTATATTCCGTGACTCTGACAGCATTGAGTGCTGGCTTCTGCCTCGTCCATAAGGTGTGCCATTCACGTGCTCAAGTTGTTCATTTTTCACACGCACAACCTCTCACACACATGCATTGCCACCCACACATGCACAGAAAAGACTTCCTGCTTGCGTTGGGTGAAGCGCCCGATGCGGGCGGATTCACAATGCTGCCGCTAATGAGCGCGTGACAACAGCGCCATCTAGCGATTGCCAATGCATCATACGTATGCACCGTCTGTTCTGAAAAATGGTATATGGGTTCTCAGCACACATAAATTACAATTAGAGAGTTTATAAGGTAAGATAGATGCATCCGTTTATTATGGGCGTCATAAGTCCCATTTTAATTGCAAACAGAGAATGGCGCAGTCGTTTATGCCCGTCTGAAAAAGTTCTCATTTGTCTACCGTTGCTTTAAGTGGCAATTTCTTCTTTTAATTATAAAAAAAATGCTCCAGCACTAACAAGCAACAGAGCCAACTTCCGTAACGTTTTCCTATGCATTCGAGGGCAACTCCTTCCCCACTCCGTCTACATACATATATACACATATGTATGTATGTATGCGCCCTGAAGTCTCAAGTGTATAACTGGTGACATTGCCAGTGCATTAATTATGCAAAGTGCGTGTTACGTGCACACATCTGTGCACCCAGAATTGGGTACGGATTAGAATTTGGGGATCTGTTACCCTTGCGGAGAGCTCATACATCCTAATGCGACAAATGTGGCTATTAAATAGGACACACTCAGTGCTAGAAAGTCGTTTGTCAAAATTATTATGAAGGGTTTTTTAAAAATTACATTAATATGAAAGTAGAAAAAAGTTTTTCATGTTCCTCAACTCCACTTGTTCGCTTCAAAGGGATACTTGAAGGCTTTTATGTTTTTCATGGATCTCTAAATGAGCAAAAGGCAAGATTGATGCTGAAAGCTACAAGTTTTTTAAATACAGCATAATATCATACTATATAATTTACTTCATATCTGTAGTTTTACATATATTATCTTTATTTTGATATGCAAGACAAGAAAATTACTGCATTTAATTCTTAGTAAATTAGTAAATTTAATTATTTGTAAAGTAAATCTGAAATACATTAGAATCCGGCTATAACGACTCCGTCCGTACGATTTTGCAACGAAAATGCTGGTCCTCAAACAAACTTATATGGATATAACGATAGCCCCTTGAGCGTCGTTATAACCGAATTCTACTGTATTACTGGGTTTTCCACAGAACTAGACACGAATATAGAGGAACATTTGATATATATTTCATTATCTACATACATACTTCGTGAAAAACTATGCGCTTATAGATAGTTCTCTTTCCGTTTTCAGCTAATGTTGGCCAATAAGCCTCCTCAACTATTTAGTACGTAAAACTAGCCTCCCCACGTAACTCGGCAGCCGTAAGAGTTATTTCCGGCTTTCAGCTGTTGTTATGGAACTACAAATCGCAAATATGCAGCTCTGGCGCCACCCTCGGCTCTCGCGGCATAAACATAAATTTCCACCACACAAACTACGACGCCCCCAAATAACAGGCGCACCCTAATACTCCTGCTACTCCTGCTGCGACTCCCACGTCCCCACTGCTCCCGTTGCACACGTTAACTTTCGTGCGCCAAATGGTTTTTACGGCCTCCCTTACTCCGGCCACTGCTTCTTCCCTCTTTTTAACCCCGGGCAACTCGCTCTTGGCTGCCCCCGCAATGTGTGCGAATGCAAATTGCAGACACGTCTCGCCGCCCCAAGGCTAAAGAATCCGTCTTTCTATGGGATGGGGATAATGTGCGCTTCGACCTGGGGGAGGCTCACTTTCTGGGCCTGCTTAAAGTCAACTTGTTGGCGCAAATTGCATTTTTATGAGTTTTGATTTCGATTCTCCAATCCAATCTGACTGCGGCTCTGGCTCTGGCTCTGGCTCTGGCTCTGGCCCTGGCCCTGGCAATGGCCCTGGCAATGGCCCCCAGACCGAGGCTAAAAACTAATTTAGAATTTCTGCTTATTTTGTAGCGCAGTTGCAGCCCGTAAATTCCATTTGCCTGCAACGAAATTGGGGCACATGATGCTGTATGCCGCATCTCTTTTTATATTTATTTCGCATTCGACGTATTTGGTGTTTTAATGGAAGACCATAAATCAATGCAAATTGCCAAAAAACCAAAAGCTTTTCTTGCGGAAAACTGACCAAAAAACAACGAACATTGAATACCCTGCAATGGAATATGTGGCACATTTATATTGCCCCTTGTCGGAGTAGAAGCAAGAAGCAGAGCAAGTGCGCATAGATTTTCCTCCAGCTGTTTTCTTTTTCTCATTTCTGCTCAAGAGTAAATGTCAATGCGATGCGCACTTGCAGCAAATAAGCGACTTCCTGTTCCAATAAGAAAAGGCAACGCACAATGGCAACGACAACAGCAACAACAACAGCAAAAGGCATTCATTGATAAATTGTCAAACAGTAGTTGTTGTCGAGGCTGTTGCAATTGTTTGCAAACACAGACAGTTAGATTGAAAGACGGACGGAGACAGACAAGCGGACAGGCGGACAGGCGGACGTACAGACAGTCCGGTCAGCAGGTAAACATAAACAGAAACACAAGCACACTGCCAGAAAAAAGTAAATAGCCAGCCAGTTGGCCAAGAGTCTAGCAATTGGGTCGCCACAATTGGCGGCCATCTGTTGCAGTTGCAGTTTCTGTTGTTGTTGTTGTTGTTGCTGCTGCAGTTGCTCGTAATCTCATTCTATTGCAGCAATTAGAGCCGCTGTTGCATTCGCCGTCTCGCGCCACGGCCTGTGTCTTGTGTCTTGTGGCAGGCTTTACATTTATGGTCTCATTAGTGTCAGCATTTGCGCTTTGCCTTAGTTTCTGTATTTTGGCTTTTTGGCAGTTGCCGCCACAGTTTGACAGCCACTGCTATGGCCAACCAACTTCAGTTTCATTTAGTCTGCTGTACAAACTCCCACTGCCAAGAAAGGGTATCGAGTTACAAACAAAATCGACCAACGGCCGGAATTAACAAAATTATAACGGAAAAGATGTTGCCAGCACAGTGGACAAGAAAGTATGTACACTAAGCAAACAAAATTCTGTTTACTTGTTTAGAATATTATTATGTTTAATATCAAGAATAGTATTTAAATAAAATTTATATTCCAATTATGTTTACAAGTTTCTTTCATTTTCTTCAAAATTATTTTCTAAAAACATAAATATCTATCTCTTCTTTTATGCATGCCCCGAATGTCAAAAAATATTTTTAAAATATTTTAATATTTTTAAACTCACAATAATAAATATATATATTTTTAATTTTAATACTCTGTGATTATGCGTGCCTATTATCTCTTATAAAATGTTATTTATTTTAAATTGAAGAAACTAGACTTAAAGACGTTATCGTACAACCATTTTCAAGTATATATATCCGTCGGTTTTGCTATTGCTCTCTAAATAAGCCCCAAAGCGCCGCTCTTATCTGATATCTCTGTGCCTTTTTCTTAATTTGCTCGCTTTTGCGAACATAATATTTGTTTATCAATTTCCGCTGCCAAAAGAATTTAACTGCGAACTTCCCCGCACAATGCACTTGTGCAAATTTCATAATAATGATAGTCGAGAAATATTCAAGCTGTCAATAAATTAAAATAAATATGCTGGGCGAGAGCTAGCCAACTGGCTTCGAGCCACGAAGGTCAATTAAGATCTGTTGAAATATTGAATAGTAGAAAATGTTGAATATTTATTTTTATTTATGATGCGATCTTTTATGGCTGCGATGGCAGGCAGCGATTATCTAATTATATAGTAGACTCTCTTCACACTGATTATCATAATTCTGTGCTGCAAAAGTCTTTTGATGGCCAACTGTCATTGGTTAACGCTAGCTCTGGTACTGGCATTGGCTTTGGCTTTGGCATTGGCATTGGCTAAGGCGAAGGCAAGGCACAGAGCCGAGGGCGCATTTAACGCTTCGCTCTGCAATATTTTGCGTTTGTTGCAACGTCTCAAGTTGCAGCCCAAGCGGCATCAACATCAATTTATGTAATCTGAACAATACACAGAACCGAACAGAAGAACCGAACCGAACGCCAGCCAGGGGGGAGCACATGCCAGGCACATCATCTTATAAATTTTGCTCGTTGCCAAAGATGCCTGTGGTTAACCGCAAAGCAAAGACAGCAACGAGCAACGGGCAACCAGCCAGAGAACAAACAGCTCGGCGAGAGGAGAGGCTGGGGGGCATTGGAGGCACTTTGAATTAGAGTAGGATCTGTGGCCAAACAATGCGCTCGTCCGGCCAGAGCCACAGTCACAGAGCGTACGATCAGAGCTAAAGAGGAGCAAACGAGCTGCTTCACTCGTGACACGACTTGCACGAATGCGATGATCATCAGGCTGCTAATATCAATATGAGAATTCGATTATGATTGCGATGATGATAATATTATAATACGATATGCAAATTTCATACATATATAATATAGACCAATACAACAACAGTCATATTCTATAATTGTTCAATTATTTACATATGACAATATTTTTGAATATTTTTACTGAGAAACTAAATGAAAAGCTATGAGGATAGTTAAGAAATAAAATAAATTAAATGCCTACAGTCTCATTTTTTTCCAAGAGCTCGCTCACAAATTCTTTACACGCCCATCTCTGACTGAATCGCTTAGGCAACTAGAGCTCCAGCCCCAACAGCATCCTCTCGTGCTGTGGCCTGGCCCGGTCTGGTCCTCCATGTTCAGTTATGTCTGTCGCGCCATAAAAACTGGTTTCGTTTTCGGTTTCGGCGCTTTGGCTTTAATTGAGTTTTGTTTGGCTGTTTTCTTTGGTTGTTTGGCTGTTTGGTTGTTGGTTGTTAGCTGAGCGCATTCTTGACCAGCTTTTTGGCCAAGTTCAATTGGATCTGTGGTGGC